GCACACTTCAACTTCCCAACACGACCTACACAAACCTACACGAACATCGACACTACGAACATGTGAATGGATTATACAGTAGAAATACTTTGTTGGGAGTATGGAATTAGTGTTTAAACTCACGCGACACCCGTCTCCGTTTGGAGGTACGCCCTCGTGTGTGCAATCCTTCTCCTTTTGGAGAGGCTGGTTGGTAACTCCTTTTCTTTGGAAGTGTGAAATTGGTTTTTTACAACACTCATGACACCCGTCTCCCTTTTGAGGTACGCCCTCGTGTGTGCAACCCTTTTCCATTTGGAGAGGACGGTTGGTAAATATAAAGAAATATCAATATTTCATGCACACTTCAACTTCCCAACACGCCCCGCGCGACCTACACGACCTACACGAGTATATATCAGTTATTTTTAAATCGTAGTTTTTAATATATTATTTTATTTATTACATCTATTTGTTATTTATCAATATTTAGAATTTGACGAATTTAATAATTGGACAAGCAGCAATGACATCGGTAAATATATTCAACAAATTTAACTTATAGCAAGGGTATATAAAGACACCATTGGATAGATACTTTTCGACAAATTTACAAATATACAGTATATTGCTAAAGGAGGTTTTGGCACTACCTCGATAGATGTGACTATGATGAAGAGAAAACTGCAAATAGAAGTTTGCTTAAAAAGTCCTGGTAACTCTAAAGATATAAACGAGAATTTTCAAATGAAGTATATATTATAATTTATTATTATTATAATTATCGTTATTATTTATTTATTCTAATTAATAATTAAATTAACAATCAACATAAACGTGGGATTATTCAGCGATTGAAATTTTATGGAATAGCTAAAATTCAACCGATAATAATTATATGATGGTTATGCAGTATGCAAAGCGAGGAAGCCTCGGGTAGAATATATAACGATTTAGATTGGATTCCAAAGGTGCAACCTTATATTACATCTGAAGTGCTTAATATAATTCACGAAGCCAATTTAGTGCATAAAGATTTTTACTCCGGAAACATTGTTAACAAAGTATGTTTTGAATTACGTAAGCTAGTGTCCCAAGATCCAAGCATCGAAGAGATTTTTGGTGTAATTACCTGCACACCTATTTGATAATGCGAACTCGTGAATAGAAAAACATCAGATTATGCAGTAGAAAAATGTTAAGGTACTTTTCCTTTGTTCTTTGTCTAAAAATCAAATTATATCAGAATCGCGATAAGAACGTTCCAAACATTAAAACTATATTTAATTTATTTATATTTTCTGATCAGCCCAAGATAACAAGAGTAAGAAAGAGAACAAAGAGAAGAATAAAAAAGTTCTGAACTCATAATTTCGGTACGAATATTTTGGTTGTGATTTTGCATCAACGAATCAATTTTTGCGCCGCAATCTAATAATTATTTTTTTCATAAAAACTTCTAAGAAATTAATTTATTCGTATCATGAAAGGCAGGCAATAAGACATTCCGCAGGCTTTTGTCTTTTATGCTTAGAAAAAGATAACTAAGTTAACTGGTAAATATATGGGTCATTTTTTGACGCTATAGATATATAACTGATGTTATTTTATTTTATTTTTATTTAGAATATATGATAAATTAAACAGGATTAGAGTGTTTTTATAGATTAGACAAACGAAAAATTTATAATGTAGTCAATCGTATAGAAATAATATAGTGGTTTTTTTTATTACAATCAATAAAGTTAAAGCGTGTTAACGCAATTTTTATAAATGCATTTATGTCGCATTATATTGTTTATATGGGTTGATGATTGGGAATTCACAGTAATTTTTTTCGTGATAAGCTATTACAAAAATTTTAGTTATGCAATTAACTTTTGAATATACTCATATCTTTGATAAAACAATTGTAGGTATACAATTCATAATTGATTTGAGAGAAATGAATTCCATGCTTGTTCTTCCGATTGATGAAATTAGAACTATAAAATGGATACTCCTACGGATCGGAACCGAACCGGACTTTAGTCAAGTTTGAGTCTGGTTTGATTTTCGAACCGGACTCAAATTTTTATATCCAAACTTTTTTGTCAAGTCCGGGTTCGTGCCGAAGTTTGCAAACTAGTTTGAGTCCGAATGTACTTATATGCAGTTTTTGGTGCTGAACGAGTTTACTAGTGCATAAAGTTAGAATTAATTAGTAAAACTTTGAGAATCATAAGATTTTATAGAATTTTGTTAATAAAATTCTACAAAATCTTATGATTCTTAAAATTTTACTAATCAATTCTAACTTCATGCATTAAGTAAACTTATTCAGCATTTAAAAATACATTAAACCAGTAGAGTTGTTTTTTATTTTGCTTGAAATTTTGAAAAAGATGTTTAATTTTGATTAAAAATTTCAAAATTAAGTATTTTTCAAGTAAAATAAAAACAATTCTACTAGTTTAATATATTTTTGGATGCTAAACTAGTGTACTTAGTACATGAAGTTAGAAGCATAAATTAAAATTAATTAAGAGAGTTATTTTTTATACCCCAAATTTATTATTTATACTTTTTATAGATTTAATTTTTTTTAAACTATGAGTAAGGATATCTCAGTAACTATCAAGCCAAATTCAATAAATTTTTTTAAAGTTCTATAGATTTATAAAATTCAAACAAAAAAATTTATTGAATCTGACTCAATAGTTGTTAAGATATCTTCACTAAAAGTTTAAAAAATCAAAAAATTTATTAAAACAAACTATACAAGTTTTGTTTTAAATTTTAAGCAAATATATCTCAATAGCTACTAAAGCAAATTTGATAATTTTTTTGTTTAAATTCTATGAATCTATAGAATTTAAATAAAAAAGTTTATTAAATTATATCTAGTAGTTGCTGAGATAACTTAAAATTTTAAAAAATTCAAAATATCTATCAAAACAGAAGCTATATCAAATTTTTTTAAACTTGAGTAAAAATATTTTAGCAACTACCAAGTCAAATTTAATATACTTTTTTTATTTAAATTCTATAAATTTATAAAATTTAAATAAAAAAATTTATCAAATTTGGTTTGGTGGTTGTTAAAATATTTTTACTCAAAGTTTAGAAAAAATTTTGGCACAGCTTCTGTTTTGATAGATATTTTAAATTTTTATAAAACTTTGAATAAAGATATCTTAGCAACTACTAAGCCAAATTAATAAATTTTTTTTTATTTAAATTATATAGATTTATAGAATTCAAATAAAAAAAGTTCATTGAATTTAACTTAGTAGATACTAAAATATTTTTTTTAAAGTTTAAAAAAAATTTTGTATAGTTTATTTTAATAGATATTTTGATTTTTTAAACCTTAAATAAAGATATTTTAGTAACTACTGTATTAAATTTAATAAATTTTTTGTTTAAATCCTATGAATCTATAGAATTAAAAAAAATTTAATAAATTTAGCTTGGTAATTACTATTATATCTTTGCTTAAAGTTTTAAAAAAAGTTAAATCTATAAAAATATTAATAAATTTAGAGAATATAAAAAATAATTTCTTTAATTAATAAAATTTTAATAATTATAAAATTTATAGAATTTAATAAATTTAACTAACTATAACCGGCAGTGATATCACTGGTGTATAATTAGCCAATAACAATAAAACAAAATAAAAATTTATTTTCTCTACTTTAGAATTAGGGTAAGGCTTGAGATTTTAGAAGATATTAAATATATACAAAATTTAGTAAAAAATTTTTTTGTTAGAATATCGAAGGTAGTTTTATAGACGAATTCTTGAGATATTGACATTTTTTTAAAAAAATCTTTATTTTTTGTTATACAAACTAATTTGCACATTACACCTAATCCAGCAAATTTATTAGCTAATTATACACTGATGATATCACTGCTAGTTATAGTTAGCAAAATTTGAATTTAATTAATAAAATTCTATAAAATTTTATAATTCTTAAAATTTAATTAATTAATTTTAATTTTATATATTAAGTAAACTTGTTTAGTATTAAAAATATATTAATTGGTAATTTGCCAGTCACCTGGTACATAATTATAGTATAATATGATGCAGATCACTAGGTAAATCACATATATCCTGAATATGGTATTTGTTCAAAGAAAACTTTTTTGTACTAAGTTAATCATTCTTCTGTATTAAGTCAAAAGTGTAGAGCTCATTAAAGCATATCTAACAGTGGTTAGATCATCCAAATCAGTCTAGTAGTTATTGAGATATCACTAAAAATGATTAGCCAATTATATAAAATTTCTATGTAAACAATAGTTTATTTATATAGAATTTTATATAGTCGGCTAATCATTTTTAGTAATATCTCAACAACTACTAGGTTGATTTGGATGATCTAACTACTATTAGATGAGCCTTGATAAGCTCTACAATTTTGACTTAATACAGAAAAGCGATTAACTTAGTACAAAAAATAGTTTTCCTTAGACGAACGCTACATTCAGGGTATATATGATTTATATAGTAATCTGTATTATATTATACTATAATCATATACCAGGTGACTGGTGAATCACCAATTAAATTAATAAAGTTGTTATTATTTTACTTGAAATTTAAAAAAAGATATTTAATTTTAATTTTTAATTAATAATCTAAAATTAAATATTTTTATCAAAATAAGTAAAATAAAAATCATTTTACTAATTTAATATATTTTTAGATAGGGTTTTAAAATTTATTGTACATGCAATATATTGCATCCTTCTGTTATATCAAAATTTTTACTATGAAACCACCTTTGAGGTTCTAATAAAAAAAATTCTCTGTAAAATTTTGATATACCTATACCCCTGCCTTATCCCAAATAGTAACTCTAATTCTAATATTAATCAAGATTTATTTTTGTTTTGGTAAAAATTCTTTTATTACACTAAATTGATGATCTTTACATAGTTATAATAGGGGTGCAATTATTGCACCGTGCAATAAATTATAAATTTATTTTAGATACTAATAAGTTTATTTAATATATAAAATTAGAATTAATTAATAAAATTTTAAGAATTATAAGATATTGTAAAATTTATTAATAAAATTCTATAAAATCTCATGATTTTTAAAATTTTATTAATAAATTCTAATATTATATATTAAATAAATCTGTTTAATATGATAAACTACATTTATACACAGGAATCTGCTCACTAGTTAGTCAGACCAGAAAAAAATTAACACTTGGTCTATATTATCAGAAAAATTTTTTTAGTGCAAATTTGCAAAATTTGTTAAAATACAGATTTTTGCAGATTTGTACTAAAAAATTTGTAAAATTTTT